AAACATATGCAAACATCAACGTCGATCTCGGGGGGGGGCGGGGTCGAGTGTGTCGACTCTGCATTCGCTACAGGTTCCAGTGTGCGCTCGCTGATTTGTTTATAGAGGGCAGAGGTAAGGCTTAAGTCACCAGGTCGATTGTGTGCTCTTCAAGCGGGTCGGTGTGCAGAGGTCAGGCTAAACTCGAGACCCCCCAAATTCAGTGTGCGCTCGCCGCTTGGGTCGGTGTGTAGAGTGTACAGGTACCCCAAACCGTACACCCTGAACCCTCTCACCTCTCAACCCTAAATCCTAGACCCTAAACCCTGAACTCTGGACCCTGAACCCTGAAGCCTGAACCCTAAATCCAGAACCCAAAACCCTAAAACCCTCAAGCCCTAACCTAAACCCTGAACCCGAAACCCTAAATAAGCCCTAGTCCCCATCACCGTGTTCGGACCCACGGCCAAGGGCATGCCAATCGCGCTTTGGCTGGACTCCAAGCATTATCAGGCTCTTGTGGGCGAGGTCACCAAGGATCAGCGGCAGCGAGCTGTTCCGGCCAAGGTGGGGGACGTGAGCTTCCGTGGTGGTGCTCCTTCCATGCTGGGTGGCTGTACGCGGGCGTCCTTGCTGGGTGGCCGTACGGCCTCTGCACGGGTTGCTGGGCCCTCCGCTTCCGCTGCTGCTCCTTCTTCCCTGGGTGGTCGTTCGGCTTCCAAGGTTGCTTCGAGTTTGGGTGGCCACACTGGTGACGGCCGTGGTGTTGAACGCTCTGTAGTTGCTCCCCCGTCTGCTGGCAAGGCAGGGCCCGGCTGTGCTGCGTCTTCCTTGGGTGGGCGCACTGCTTCCCGTGGCACCTTGGGCGGGGCGCCGGAAGCGGATGCTGCTGTTGGAGGAGCTGACCAGGTTGCTGCTCCAAGCAAACACGCCCAGTGCCAGCGGCGATTCCGCGAGAATCCGTTGGGTCAGGGGGCGACGCCTCGGTTCGTCTGTCAGTACTGTGACTTTGCCTACGAGAATCCGAGTCGCAACGCGGTGTCGAGTGCCCGGGCCCATCATCTTACTCGGTATCATGGTGGTGCCAGCCTGCCTGGAGCCATTCGCGTTGACTACGGCATCTTCCGATCCCTGTCTAAGGCTGAGTGTGATGCCGAGCGTTTCGCCCGGCACCGTAAGCAGAGACACCCCGACGTCTCCAACGCTGCCTACCAGAAAGCCGCATGTGCTCAAGCCCATGCTCGGCTGCGTGCCTTGGCACGGCGACGTGCTTCTTGTGCCAAGCCATGAGCCGCGACTCGACGCCGATGTGTGCGCCTTCTGGCTTCGTTTTCGTGCGTTGGCCTTGCCTTGAATACCCGAAGGGTCGGTCAAGAGGCAAGCTCACTGTTCGCCACGTCCTGCAGTGTTTGAAGTGCTGTCATCTTTATGCCAGCCCGCCCCCTGTCGCTGAACCGTGGGTGCCTTCCTGCTGCAAGCGTGCTTCGAGCAGGCCTTTTTTGCTACCAGAAGGAAGGAGCATACAAGGCGGACTCGAACTCTTGAGCGGCGCATCAAAGCTGTGTGTTCCACCAGCCAAGCACGGCGTTCCGATTGACCAGCTTGAAGACCTTTTCAGAGAGGCCCGCGATGCCCTGCGCCGATCTGCACCTGTTCGATCATGATGTATGGCACGCTCAACGTTTGCAAGGCGCTGGCCACTAAGGTGGATGAGGTTGCATCCATTTTTCGCGAGCAGAGCCTGCTTGTGCTTGCGCTCCAAGAGATTGATCTGAACAGTGCGTCGGTTGTTTCAGTGACTGCCGCTTTTAAGAGGCATGGCTTGTGCTTCTTTGCTGGGCCCAGCAACGGGCAGTGCCACTGTGTTGGCTTGGTCGCTTCGCTGGCTTGCAAGCCATTGGTGCTGCGTGGCATCTCTGAGCCCTCTCGGGTGGTTGCTGTGCTTACGGAGCTTCGGTGCGAAGCCTCGGTTCGGAAAGTTGTCTTCGCATCTCTTTATGGGCAGGTTGGCGATGCTCCTGCGGCTTGTGCTTTGGCGCGTGAAGTCGTCTTGCAGTTGTCAGCAGCTGGTCACTGCTGGGTTGCTCTAGGGGATTTCAACATCACTTTGGAGGATCCGTGGGCTGGCACGCTGGCTTGCCTTCCTTCTGCCAAGGCTCTTGACGATGACTTTGCTGGTTGCGGACCGCTTCCTCTGACTTCTCCGGGACGTGTTCGCCGCATCGACTATGGCATTGCTTCTCGCTTGATTGCTGCCACTGAGGTCGTCTCTTTCAGTGGCTGCGTGGACCACTTGGGCACGGCTTATGGCCTTAATCTTTCTGAGCCTCTTGGTTGTGTTGGGCCTGCTCGGGCACCGCTGCGATCTGCCGATGTCTTTGAGCACCGGTGGCTTCAGGTGTGGCGTCCGTTTGCTGCTGGCTTTTCCAAGGCATTGTCTGAGGACTGCTCTCGGGCCTGGGAGATCCTCTCCACCGCTGCAGAAGAGGCCCTCGTCGTCTCTGATGGTGGGGACGTCTCTCATGTGGTCCCTCGTCATGCCCTCTGGGACCCACGCCGGCCTCGTCACCGACATCGAGCCTCGTGTGGTCCTGAGTCGTTGCTTTTGGTGCGCCTTCGACGCCTTCATCGTCGGCTCACTCACTTCGCCAGGGTGCCTCACGATGCGCCTTTGCGCCGGAAGGTTTGTCTCGACCTCGCCCACCTGGCTGGGACCTTCCCGGCGCTAGAGGCCTTTTGTGGTGATAATCCCCTTGGGGCTTTGGAGTTGGTTGCTAGGCTTAAGCAACTTGTCGCTGACGACGAGAAGCAGGCTGCTCTGAAACGTTGGTCCAGGTCCCTTGTGGACGACTTTGGGGCCCAGTGTGCTTGGGTTCGCCGCCGTTGTGCTCTCGAAGAGGAGGTGGAGCAGCGGGCCGTTGCTTTAAATTTGATCTGGAGCCCCGCGCTGTGCTTGCTCCATCTGAAATCTTGAAGCAAGCTGCTGCCGAACTTGTGCCTCGATGGACTTCGCGAGCTTCTCGTTCCGATGCTGCTGTCAGGCACGCCCTTCGTGCTTTGCCTGCTGTGGCCGTGCAACAGGGCTCGTTCCTGTTCGAGGGGGCCGTTCTTAGGGGTTTGGCTAAGCGCATGAAGGGCAAGGCCTGCGGGGCGGACAACTGGCATGCCGAAGACTTTCTTCACTTGCCGCTACACTTTTGGGACCAGCTTGCAGCGCTGCGGCAGGCAGTCCTAGAGCGTGGAGATGTTCCACGGTCCTGGCAAAGAGTTCGCATCGCCCTCATCCCCAAACGGGCTGGTGGATGCAGGCCTTTGGAACAGCTTTCCAGTTGGTCTGGGCAGTGGCTTGATCACTCTTTGTGTGGAGGAGTGCCAGGACGCAGCAGCAAAGATTTGATCTTCCAGCTCCTCGCGGGCATGCGCCAGCATCCGGACTCTGTTGTTGTTGCTCAGGACTTGGAAAAATTTTTCGATGCCATCGACCTGCGGGATCTCCTGCTTGTGCTCGAAAAGCTCTCAGCTCCTCGGCAGCTGTGCTCGTTGGTCGCTGCCATGTACACCGGTCAACAACGCCTCTTCTTCAGCCGCTCGGGATTCCTGTCCGAGAGCTGGGTTACGACGATTGATCTTATGAAGGCATATGATTCCGTTAATCGAAATGGGCTTTGGGGCATTTTGCGTGCTAAAGGAGTACCGGATACCATGCTCGATCTTATAAAAGACTTGTATACGGGCAAAACTGCGCGGGTCAGTGCGGAGGTTGAGCTCACGGAGGAATTCGAGCTACGTACTGGCTTGGGACAAGGCTGTTGTCTGGCTCCTTTGTTGTTCAATGTTTACTTGGCTGCAGTCATGGAAGAATGGTACCATATTGCGGACACGCATCTTACGTTGCCCTACCGTATTGATGGGATTTTGCGTAGACATATGGATGAAGTCTCCTTAAACAAGTATGCGACGTGGGATCATATGAAACTCAGTGATCTCGGGTGTGCTGATGATGCTGCATTCCTCACGGATACATATGAAAAATTGGTCACGACAATTGAAGAACTGCAATCCTTGTACAAGCAATGGGGTTTGACCATGTCGGTGGAAAAAACAGAAGCTTTGGTATCACAAGGGGAATTACCGCCACCGATTCAGGTCGAGGAGATTGATGGTTTTGACAAGGTCAATTTTAAGAAGAACCTTGAGTATTTGGGAGCAGACGTCAGCACGAGGCAAGGCTGTGAAGATGATATTACCCGGAGAATTGACAAGGCTAGAAAGGCTTTTTGGCGACTTGCGTCTAATGTGTGGGATGTTAAGCAACTCTCTTTAACTGTCAAAATGCGTGTGTATAGGGCCTGTGTGATCTCGGTGCTGTTGTATGGATGTGAAACGTGGACTACTACTTTCCGGTGCAGGAAGAAACTTGAACAATTTCAGATGATGTGTCTTCGTAAAATCTCCCAAATTGGCATATGGAACCAGGAACAAATGCATGTGAACAACGGTCACTTGCGAGCGTGGCTCGGCGTGCCTACGGTATGTGACATGATAGTGCAGGCTCGCACCCGATGGTTAGGACATGTGGCGCGCATGGATAATGCTCGGTTGCCCAAACAAATGCTTTGTGCATTTTTCCCAGGTAATGTTGGAGTGCCCACACATGTTGGTAGGCGTACCGGGAAATGGTTGGCCTTTGATTTCGTCAATGATTTGGAAATGGCAGGCATTCCAATTAGCGGTTGGATGCAGATTGCACGAAAACACAACGGGTCTGAGTGGAGGGACAAAGTTTTCCAAATTGCAAGATGGTATACGCCCAAAAATCCAAAGTCAGGGCAGGAGCCACCGGACCGCAAAAAGGAAAAGGCGCGGGGTGCGCCACACCGCAATGTCAAGCGCGCATTCGTAGAACATGCCAAGAATCAGCAGGAATGGTTTGACAAAGAAACTTTCCATGTTGGAGTTTTGAAGGCGGAACAGGAATTAGGAGGGCGTGACAAGCTGATTTCCCGCATTTTGAATGAATGATCTACAAGCTAAGTATGGTCCAACATGGATGGATTTGAAGGAGGAGGATGTGGTCGTTGACATGACTGAGGAGTGGAATGATTTGCGCTAGTTAATGAAGTAGACGTAGGACTGTTGTCCATGCTTGTGCATGCAGCGCGGTCACAAGTCATTAGTGAACAGGGCACGCCGCTGTCACGGGCCACAGGTCGTCGTCGTTTACGCTGTAAGCAGCCGGTCCCGTCTGATCCTGGGAATGCCGAATTGGCGGGGGTGGCCAATCAACGCCAACGGACGCCGTCTCCACCACCTGCACCGCCACCTGCACCACCGCAAACGGGCGTAAGGGTTCGTCTCAAACGTTATGGACGTCAGGCAAGCCCCAACCGCAATGGAAGTTTCCCATGCTCGCTGTGGAGTAAAAGTTTCGACACAAAGGTCGCACGGTCTAGTCATGTCCGCATAGTCCATCCAGAAGGAACGTTCAGAGAGAATGGTTTTCAGTGTGAGTTATGTCCGAGATTGCTTCTAGTGCAAGGAAAACTCACGGAACACTACCGCAGGGACCATATTCGCGAGTCTCCTGCTGTTTCTTGTCCCCATTGCGGGGTAGTATATCCGGCCAAAACACTCCTCTTACAGCACTTCATTCAAAGTCATTCGGATGTGGAGGCAAGATTTCCCGGGCCATGCTTCCTATGCGAGGCTCGGGGAGCTAGGAACGTGCCGTACATGAAGACTGCTATGACATTTAAACGACATCGAACTGCGGAGCATTTGCATGACTGGACTGTGCAGTTTCGATAGGCATGGCAGTATCGCATTTGGTTGCATAAAGCTGGGCATAGCAGTGATGTGCAGGGTCGCACTCTTCGTGTCAGAGTCTTGACTGTACCTGTATGTGCAAGCGAGCATCTGGTATTTTGCAGAAGCTGGTAGGCTCAAACCCGCTGCGTGTACACAGGAAATGGGAAGGGACCGCGAGGACCGGGGCAGGGACCGTGACCGTAGAGGCAAAACGTCAGAGCCACAGAGGGACCACCTTGAAGACGAAGTGCGACGACCAGGCGAAGAGCTACGTGAGCTCAAGGCGAAGCTTGAACGCTCGAGTAACCTGACAGTGTTTACCGCGCGGGATGCTGGAGAGGCTAAGGCGGCGCTGCAGGTCACAGTCTTCCTCACCGGGCTTTTTCGCGAGCACATGCAGGGCATTTTGAGGACGTACCAAGATGCTCGTGATCAGGCATGCGATGGTGGTGGGGTCGCTTCCGCAAGCACAGGGCGCGTCGAACCGCTGAAAGTCTTGATGTACAACGGGCTCATCCAGCATATGGTGGCTTACGCCGAGAAGGTGTGCCCGGAGGCGCTTACGCGCTGCTGGCTCGGATATCACCGCCATCTCTAACACACAGCGTCCCCCTACTACGGATGCACCGTGGGTGTTAGTGATCACCTTCGCTGGGTCTGCACGCGGAAGGAACATGCACGCTCTGTGGGATACAGATGAGATTCAACGCCTGGTGTCCAAAAAGAACGGCATGTGGCCCGAGCTTGGAGTAAAGCCAGGAACCTGGCGACCCACGACTCTCTATACCGCGAAGTGGCAGAAGACTGTGGGGTTCCGGTCTCGCCCGAGGGACCAAGCAGGTTGGCGTGCGCCGCACGGCGACTGCGGCTGATGCTGCGCGACCCGCGTACAGGTCGGAGGTTGTGGAGGGCGACTTCGGTTCCACGAGAATGGTGCGTGAGGACGTCACCGCGGTGTTGCAGGAGTGTCTCTTCGAGAACGTTGCCGTCGAGGAAAGGTCCCCGTGGCGAGGTTTGACTGCCTGGACGTTTCGCGCCACTGCTCCTGCCGAGGACGACTTCAAACTTCTCCCGATGGAGTCTGGCGACATCGAGGTCGTGCGACTTGGCCGTGATCAGGCTCCGCGCCGTGAGCCGGCGCTGCCTTTGGAGGTGAAGCAGATCTACCGTGAATCTCGTCGGAGTACTAAGGACACCAAGGAGGCACGCAAGCCCGGCTCTTCGCTTTTGTCTGCTGCTCCAGGGCCGAGTGTCCTGCTTCGGGACCCACTGTTGCCGAGCGGGATGGTGGTGACATGCATGTTGATGGGGGTGGTGATCGTCCTCGACTTGATGATGGCAAGTCCCTGCCCAGCCAAGGCGATGACGCTGCTGCTAAACGGCACAAACCCGCTAGTGACCAGCCTGTGACGGGTCAGCAGATTCCGGGCGCCATGCGATTGGACAATGCTGGCCAGGGCAACTGCCTTTTCCTTGCGGTCAGCGAGGCCCTTGTGGCTCAGGGCCGGTCTCGACGTTCAGCATCTGAATTGCGTAGCCGCTGCTGCACACACTTGAGACGGCATGAAGCGACCTACTGCGGTTTCTGGCGTGGTGACAGCCCCGATGCCACTCAGAGTGACATCAGCAGCCTGGGTTTCGGAGAGTACCCGATGTTCTTTTATGCGCTGCTTGGTCCTGGCGAGAGAGGGCTACTTACAGCGCGCCAAGCTGCTGGCTGTGGGAGCTGGTGGCGATTGTGGTTTTGGAGGAGCTTCGCTTTACGAGCTCCTGGATCCTTTCACTTCACCGGTCCGGGAAAACTCCGGGGTGACTAATCTTATGGTGGTGGTGGTGGCTTGGGACGCTTTATGCATGTCTCGCCGCCGCTATGGTCGCAGGGCGCGACGAGCGGGGACTTATGCACTTTGTGTTCCTTGCGGTTCCAACGGCACTTACCTGTCCATGCTTGGCGCTGCTCGTGGAGGTGCTGACTTTCTTATTGGTGAGGAGGCCCGGTCTCTATGTGGTTTCGAGGCTGGTGCTGGCTCTGAGTGCGGTAGCGATGCCAACGACATCGTGAGCGTTTTTACACCCCTTGGTGGGGATGAGTGTGCAGAGGCTATGGCTGTGCGGAGGCGCTTTGGCTGGAGAGATCGATCCGCTCTGTTCAGCCAAGAACTGGCGAACTGGCGAGGGCGCCAAGCTACGCTGGCGAACCCCAACTAAGCCCTAAACCTTAAACCCTGAATCCGCAACCCTGAAACCCACCCTAAAATTCTGAAACCCAAAAGCCCTATAAGCCCTAAACCCTAAACCTAGTAATTTTCATCTGGGAGGGCGGCAAGGTTTGTACCACTGCTCATCCTGTCGTGAGCTGATATCGTTGTTGAGATGGTAAGTGCAATGTTGTTCGACCCGAAATTATGGGGGGTGCCGGCAAGTGGAAGGTTTTTGCTTGGCACCGAGCGTCTGCTCTGCAGTGTGAAGTTCAACAGCTTTGACTTGAGATTGTCAAGCTTCGAAATGTGGGTTATGGCTGTGGCTTATGATGAATGACGGCGGAGCCGGCAGGTCCCTCTGCCAGCCTGCAGGCACTAACCAGGTCCATGTGACTCGCGAGGCAAGCAAATTGCGTGGATCGTCAGTACGAAACCCTTCTGTGAAGTGAGGTCTTGCATAAAATTGCGAAAGCGTTTTTTCAACGCTCCGACGTTCCGTCTGCCCAATCTGTCTCGGCGGTCTCCCCCGACTCTCCCCCGACTCTCCCCCGACTCTCCCTCGACTCTCCCCCGACTCTCCCCGACTCTCCCCGACTTCCTTTGTCTAGCTTTGCTCTTGCCAGGCAGCGGTCCCCCGACTCTCCCCGACTCTCCTGGCTCCCCACGGCTGCCCCGGACTCTCTCCGACTCCCCCACCGACTCCCCACCGGTTTTTGAAGTATTGTTGGGTTTCAAACTAAGTTTTCGCGTTTGCGAAAGAGTTTCGTGTGTTTGAACATTTTTCGCAACAAGTTGTTTGTTTTTCCACTACATGCAAACGTTTGCGTTCTGGCAAAATTTCGCTTGTCAATAGTTACGGAATTTGTGAGTCTATAGGTTACAAAGTTTATAGAGTTCTGGTACAGATCGGATATTGTTGCGACTTGTCATGGAGAAGTGCCCTGTGCGTAGCAACTCGCTCAGCTCCCGTTTGTACAAATTTCAATTCAAGAAAGTGTTCACAGTATGCCCCCGTGTGTTCCTGTTTTGGGGATATGTAAACTACGGAATCTGCCGACCCTGATGAAAATTGCTACCTAAACCCTCAGACCCAAGCCCAAAACCCTCAACCCTAAAACCCTAAACCTTGAATCCAAAACCCAAAACCCTAACCCCTAAAACCCTAAACCCTAAACCCCAAAGCCCAAAGCCCTAAACCTTCAGCCTTCAAACACTGAACCTGAAACCCCACCCGCACCTTTAGTGAAAGATAAAGAATGCGCACCGGACCCAGTTTGTTTATCAATGCGCACTCGACACTGGAGTGAATGTGCGCTGGACCCACCTTCCTCTCTCATCTTGCCACATGCAGGAACATGAATCGATTGCAGTGTCGGATGATGCGTGCTGCAGTCTGCTG